TCACGCCTGTTTTCTGTGTGGTCGTGGTATTGCACCGGGCGAGCCGGCCCATTCGTGCGAAGATGTTAAAGCGGGCTCTACCACTGTAAAGCTGGCTTACTCCTATGCTCTTTGCTACATGGCCTATGCTCTTTACTTTATTTTTAATAATTAAATAGAATGTTTATCTTTAAAAGCTTTTGGTGGGCAGTTTTGACTCTCGGGTTAAAGGTTAAAAGGCGAACCTTTGTCCAGTCGACTGCATAACCTTCAGCTTATAAACTCGCATACATTTATTGACTTAAATCAAAATAATATGTGCCTATTTTGTCTGTAAAGGACAACTTAGAACATTTGGAATATCAAAAGAACTCCAGTAAATCATTTTATTATTAAATCTATTGGTACTTACAAACAACTTCTACAGATAATATCCTATAAGTGTACAGGCGTAATATTACAATTTTCCCACGAAATCTCGATTCGAATAACAATCGAGTTTCCCGAGGGATTACTCTGAAATTGGAAATTGTCGTATATAATGGCAATTTCCATAGAAACGAGATTATCATTGAAACGACTCCCGGAGCAAGAGATCGAAAATTCCCTACCAAATAAACACAATCTGATTACAACAGAACGTTATTAATTTAATTCCAGAATTGTATCTTATAAGTGTTTTGTTACTTTTAGTGTTTATAAACGTTTTATTTCTTGGGATTCTTTAGTTTAGATGCACACAGAAGACAGGCGTGAAATGGAAGCAATTCCGTGTTTCGTCTGATGAGTGTTGTGCCGGAGGCCTAATTTAAGTCCCTTTCTCTTTACCACCCTTTTCTTTTAAGGAGAGGTTGGGAAGAGGAAATGGATTTGACGGTGGAGGAGATGCATAGGAAGGGGAAATATCCTCATTACGTGCGTCTCCTCCTCCGTCTATAGGCAGCGGTCGCTTCGCCATTTTGGCGATTTCAAGGGGCCGCTTGCTCGTTTGCCACCTTATGTTATAAAAAAAATTTAATAATCAAAGTTTTTTTAAAACAACTTTGCTTTTTAACCGACTTCCGAAATTAAGTGGTTCTCAGATCATTTGGACGATTTTTTATGTGTGTTATAATAATAAACTTTATTTCGAGCTGCACTTCTTTTTTGCTCATAGATTGTTGTGTACATCGCCTGCCTGTACAGCTTCATGCAGTCATTAATATATCTAAAATCCAGTCTGCTGGCAATTATATGTTATAGAAGAATACAGTGGTGAAAGCCACCTTATAAAGGTAGATAAAACGCAATGAGAATGTCTATGACTCCCTTATCTAGAGTACATAAGTCCCCGTAGACTATATTAAGACATCCAAATTTTACTTTGAAAGTTGATGTCGGTTCATCAACACAGTATCTCTACTCATATTGTATTACGTCTAGATTCCCAGGGGTATATGGGTGTAAGGGCTGACCTGAAGGTGTGATTGGTACTCTAGGCGGCATCTGCGCGGCGTTATGGTTGTCATCACGCGGGCTCGCCGCAGCGCCTTCCGCGTTGTTGTTCGGCGGCCCTGGACCCTCACCAGCGCCCTCTATCTGCAACTGACAACATAGATAATGTTAACCTATGGACTTCTAGATTGCTCATACCTGAACTAGGGATAGCACGAAAATTTCAAGCAAATTTTATCGTTATACTTTCTAGCTAATTTTCGTGCCGGGTGCCCAGTTTAAATACAACGTAACGGCTTATCACCATATATACATAAATATCAATATGTCTTGGTGGTTATTTTGAACTAGAACTATTTGAGATCTACAATTCCTTCATACATTATTTCTATATACCTCTAACGGTTTAGGCAGTATAAGCCGAGAAAAGTTAAAATTTAGTGATTTTTTAACGTGGTCCAGAAATACGCTTTTTATTAATAGTTCCTAAACATTAGTAATAATGAAATATCTTGTTACTCACAGATAAATTACCTTTCTAATGGTGAAAGAATTTTAAAAATCGGTCCAGTAGTTTTTACATGAATCAAATACATACAGAAAGACAAAAATACAAATCTTTCCTCTTTATAATATAAAATAAATAAATAAATAATGAATCAAAACATCTTTAATATCATTGTTTGATTCGATTTTATCTTGTCTTTTTTATTTCGTTTAATACGGTAAATGTAAACAACGTTATACAAAAAGAAAATTTATTAAGAAAGACATTCAATCATAAACGAAATTTCCTCGAACGTAAATATTACAAATCAAATACAAAAACAGAAAATAAAGAAGAAATGTTTATTTATCTATCATTTGTGAGACACATAAGGAAAATATTTGTTACTAGCTGTTCCCGTGCGACTTCGTCCGCATATAATTACGAAAATTTTATTTTATTATTTACATGTGTCAAATTATCAATTGCAAATGTCAAAATGACACGATGATGACAAACCATGGCAACCCTTTCTTCCTTAATGTTGGCAGCAACTTATGGTTTCTTTCCAAAATTAGGGTTTTTATCCAAAATATTTACCCCCTAAGTTTGATGGCGTGAAAATATATAGCCTAAAGCGTGACGTAACTGTGGGGCTTTTTATTAAATAAGGTATTATTCAAAAATATGCTGTAATTGCTGTCATCTTAGGCAACAAAGAAGTGTGTGTTTACGCTTTATTATAATAGTATAGATATTCAAAAAGACCTTCATTAGGTAAATTTCGCTTAAAAACAACATATAAATTGATGAGTTACAGTTTAATTCGGTATTTACTAAAAGCAAAAACCGCGTAATACGTAAAACATTTTTCACGCAAATAAAAACCTGAAAGCCAAGTTTTAATGTGAAATAGACATTATTAGTAACATCAAACTGACTACGAATTTGTCAAACTGCGTGTTCAGTACAAAAGTTTGTTAATTTATTAATTTACTGTTATAATGTTGCCAGTCACGGTAACTAATCTATAATTCTGTATCTTTTTAACAAAACGGAAAAAATCATCAAAAAGAATTACCTAATAATAAAGTAGGTCGACCAAGTATAATACGAAAACGTAAACCATAGACTTTTAAGGCAAATGTTCGCAACTGGCTATTGCTCGTGACTTCGTCCACGTAAGATTAAAAAAAATAGTAAAAACATACAGCGATAACGTAGCTTTTTAACGGTGAAAACATTTTTAAAATCGGTCCCGTAGTTTTTGGGTTATTTCAAAACATACAAAAATACAAATCTTTCCTCTTTATACTAGCTGTCGCCCGCGACTCCGTCCGCGTAGAATTAAAAAAACCAAAAGTGAGTAGCCTATGTGTTTTTCCAGACTATCCTCTACGTCTGTACCAAATTTCATCGAGATCTATTAAGCCGTTTTGGCTACAAACTCTAACAAACATCCATCCATCTAAACTTTCGCATTTACGAGTATAATATTAGCAAGATACATAAACAATAGTGAAAAGCACTTGTTGCAAACTCATCCGTGTCGTTGAAGGACGACGAATGTCAATAGAGAAGGCCAATATCCGAACTGTACAAACAAGCGAGAAACGCTACGTTTGATTGAACCAGTATTGAATCTCTAGAACGCGTAATTTCCAGATACCTTTCATTATTTTTATTAATTTCATTGAATATTATCCGCGACTCCGTCCGCGTTGAATTAAAAAGCAAAAGTAATTGGTCTATGTGTCCTTCCAGATTATGCTTTTTATCTAAGTCAAATTTCATCGAGAACTGTTCAGCCGTTTATGCTACAAACTTTAACAAACCACCATCCATCCATCTAAACTTTCGCATTTATAATGTTAGTAAAGTATATGAAAACGGTTTGAAATGTTTGTCATCTTTTTTATATGGCATGTTTGGTTAGGTTAGTTAGGTAAGTAAGGTAATTCAGTGTACTATGTAAATACATCAAAAATATATCTATAGTAATTACAAATATGTCCATTTTACGAAGCGTCGATTCAAAACGACGTGGAAATGAGGAATGACTAGCAAAGTTGCAATTACAAGTTGACAGTTGCACGCGAGTTTTAAAGTTTTCGTATATCCGTTGGCGAAAGAAAACGTTTGTTGCCGTGTCTAAGTTTTCGACATGTTTTGCGTCATAGGCGCCTAAGGCAATATCTGTCTTCAAAGATTCACAATCAAACACGTTCTTCGTGTAACAGGCCGATATCGACCTGACGCGGTACTTAAGGTGGTGCGGAAGAAGAAAACTATGTACTTCTCGCTAGTGCGAAACGATTATCTTAGGTGTATATTATGTTATAGCAATTTAATCTAGTTGTCTTAGTGCTGGTGGGTCTAAAAAGACCTGCCACGTACTGGCGGAAATATCATTGGGGGCACATGTTGGCCCGCCGCCATACCAGATATAGAATTATGAATTTTCTTGCAGTAAACGTGTTATATTACGATTAAACTCTAATCTCTGTATAAAATGTACTCTTAATTATTATAATTTTGGTTGATTGACAGGCTATTTAATAAGGATGAGTTTATAAGTTAAATTAAGCTATGGAAGTGTGAAGTAATTTATTTAATAACTAGCTGTTCCCGTGCGGCTTCATCCGCATGAAATGATAATATATTTATATTATTGTTTACATTTGCCAAATGATCAATAGCAAATGTCAATATGACATGACAAACCTTAACAATCTTTCTTTCTTGATGTTGGCAGCAACTTATGGTCTCTTTCACACATTAGGGTTTTTATCCAAAATATTTACCCCCTAAATTTAATGGCGTGAAAATATATAGCCTAAAGCGTGACGTCAGTGTAGGGATTTTTATTAAATAAAGAATTATTCAAAAATATGCTGTTATTGCTGACATCTTAGGCAAAAAAGAAGTGTGTGTTACCGCTTTATTATAATAGAATAGAAAAGTCTAATATCGGACATAGAGCGGGCGCACATCCTTGACTAAACTATCGCACAACTGTTGTGCGATTGTCGATTGTTTTGCAGCTTCAACTGCTTAGTTGCACAACTAAACATCGAGTAGTGTACGCACCTCTATATAAGCTCAGATGAATCCAAGCGCGACTAAACAGTTGTCCGATAGTTTAGTCAAATGTATGTACGCGCTGTTACCTTAATTACATTTTACGCAAATATGAATTATAAGAATTTGTATACCGAAGCAGTGACATAGATTAATAGTTTGCAAGCAAAAGTTTCAGGTAACGGCAAACTTTCGCAATGTTGAGCACGAATAATCTTTAGACTTAAAAGTTGCGGTAAAACGACCGCACGTGCTGAAAACCCGCAAAATCTACGGTTTGATGAAATCCAAAGAAGTATATACAGTTACCTTTACCTTTTTTCATGTTCAAACGTTAAGTAGTTACTTTAAAATATTTTAAAAACTTAACTTTTTACTAATACTATAAATGCCGAAGGTTTGGAAGGACGGATGGATGTTTGTTAGAGTTTCTAGCCTATACCGGTGAACGGATCTCGATGTAATTTGGCAAAGATGTACAGGATAGTTTGGAAGAGCTCATAGGCTTACTTTTGTTTTTTCAATTCCACGCGGATGGATTCGCTGGCAAAAGATTTTTTTTTTTAATATTTTTAATTGACCTTCATTAGTTATTGACCGAGATGAAGAGAGAACGAGCTGAAGCTAAATAGACATTGTTAATAGCTTAAAATGTACATGTATAAATGATTCTTATTCATAACATATTATATGAATATCTATGTTTAAATTCTTCGTAGGATTAACGCCTAAGTATGGGATTTATTTGTGTTATGCAACTTGCTGTCTTCAAGTACATTTGTAAGGTTAGTAGTACATACCTAAAGAGATTATGTTATTCTACAACTTGTCTTCAGCGGCGGATCCAGGGAGGGGGCCATGAGGGTCATGACCTCCCCCTGAGCTGATTGGTCAAGAGCTTGACAAAATATGTGACCCCCCTCTCCCTGGCGCCAAACCTGAATCTGCCCTTGCTTGTGTTTCTAATTTCATTACGAATTTGTTATTATATTAATCAGAATATAATTTTTAAAATTGACATCATTGTGATCAATCATTAAGCACAATATAAGTAAGGTCTTGGGACGAAAAGAAAATGGGACACAACCTCAATTCATCCTGGCACAAATAACTTGGTAACTTGCTCTCGAATCCGTGACGTCACTCAAACAACGGAAAGGGAAAGGTCACGTCTGTCAAGGAAATGGATAGACAACGTTTATAACTAATGATTGCATGCACTGAAACAAGATTTCGTTCGTAAATATTGATTACTAGCTGTAGCTCGCGACTTAGTCCACATGAAATTAAATATAGCCTACTAGCTTTCGCCCGCGACTCCGTCGGCTTGGAATTAAAAAAAAAACAAAAGTGAGTAGCCTATGCGTTCTTCCAGACTATCCTCCACATCTATACCAAATTTCATCAAAATCCGTGCAACAGTTTAGGCTCCAAATTCTAATAGACATCCATCCATCCATCTATCTATCTAAACATTCGCATTTATAATATTAGTAAGATAACTAGTAAGATTAGTAAGAAAGATATTACTCAGCGATAACGTAGCTTTATAATAGTGAAAGAATTTTTTAAATCGAACCAG